ATTCATATCCAAGTTGTGGCAATTTGTATACTTCTCCCACCTCAAACGCCAAATCAAGGCAGTACAAAGATAGACTGCGTTCTCGTGACAATGAAAATTAAAGCTTCAAGAGACGTAAAAAGACGGAAAGCAAGAGAGAGAAAAAAAAAAAATAAAGAAAAGGAAAAAATGCGCTGACAGGTCTTCAACAGAAAGCGCCGTATATGAACTCGCACACGAACCGTGATTAGATAGGAAAAAGGAGGTAAAATGCAGGAGAAAATTGAAAATACTGAAGAGAAAGGACTATATCTTGACGTAGCATGTACCTGCATGCATGAGATTAAACGTTCCACGTTCTACCTGGGCGTCGTCCCGACCGCCTGAGCAACAGGCACCAGACTGGACGGAGCCACTTTGCCAGGAAAGCTAGAGGGTGGGCTCTGCCGTTTTGCCAACAGGGCGAGTTTCTTGCGCAGGGATGCCAAGCGACCCCTGATACTGGATACCACTGCATGACCCGTCAGAAGAGAAATTTCCAATTGTGTGCGTGGTACAACTCACATTTCATCACCACCTGACGGTCTTCCACCCGTACGCCATCCAGCACGGCTTTGTCGCCATCTCGCCGGGCATCGCCTTTGTCGGTGCCACTTCCTGGCCCAGACCGGGATACCTCGTCTTCCTCCAGTACAGCTTCCAACATCCGAATGGCGGTGACATAAGCTATCTCGCACCCAGAAAGGTCTTCGCCCGTCAGTTCATTGATGGCGGCCGCCCGACTCATCTCTAGTGCCCGATCGTACATTAGCTTCTCCGCCGTCACACCCGAACTCACAACCACGTCCGTGGAGGCGCCAGAGCCGACGGAGGAGCCGACGGAGTGATTACTGGGATGACTGGGGTGATCTGGTGGCAAGCGTTTCTGGCCTTCGATTAACTTGAGACGAACAAATTCTGCCTTTTCCAACACCTCATTGAATCGGTTTCGCACCCATTGTACAACATTGTTGATCCGGTTACTGACAAGCGTGCTTGTGGCGTCCGTCCTTCCCATGGCCGATTCGCCAAACGCTTCTCCACGGTTCTTCCGGGTCCACCAAGCGCCAGCGATATCCATAGATTTTGCCAACAAGGAAAGCGCTTTGACGTAGAGAACGAGGGCTTCCTCGGACAATGTTACAACAGCATCAACCGTGAGCCCACCATCTGTCAGATCGGTAGGGTCCCGCTCCCCACCGGGCACATTAGCCCTGCCCGAAGGGTCCGTTTGAACAGATGGCGCCAGTGGGATGAGTTGCTTGTACTTGACCTCGGCGAAGCCATACACCACGTCACTTCGCGTGGCACACTCTTCGATCACTTGGATGGTCTTCGCGTCCTCATCCAGGGTCACGTTAGTCCTTGCTCCATCCCCGACAACCATCAAGCTACCTTGAGCCGCCGGATAGGCTGGGAAGGGGTTGTAGCCCAGTGGGGGAGAGCGCCCTCCTTTCGTAATAGTCATGGGTGGCGAGAAGCCCATCCCAAACAAGCGCCCGCTAGCCATGTGGAGCGCTTTTGAGATGGCGGACGTAGGACTCTGGCCGTATCGACGCTCGTAAGAACCTTGACGAGTGTGCGTCGAATCAGCCCGAGCTCGTCCAGAAGCAACCTGCATTGCTTTACCTGTAGTGGCCAAGGGTGACGTAGCGGTCGCCGTGGACGATCCTTGGGTGCCTGGGCGACGCGACAGAGCATAGGCGTTCTTGGAAAAGCCGCCCTGGATCCGAGGACTATGTGCCAACTCATCTGCAAAAGCATTCACCTCCACAGCACGTTTCTCTACGAGCACATAGTCTCTCTCAAACGCAATCTCTTGTGCAGCGCGCTCGCTTTCCTCTTTTGTTTTCTCCGCTTGCCTCTCGGTTTGTGGGATTCCTGCGTAGGTATTTCGGCTCCTCTGCCGCTCCATTACAGCGGCCGTAGCATTTCGATCGACAAGCTCTTGACGACCGGGGGCCGTGGCAAGAGACACCGCACTCGGTCTCTGAGGCGTCGTGTTTGCCGGTTCTTTGGATGTAGTCGGTCTGTCCACACTTCCCACCCTACGCATAGGAGACGAGGAAGCCGGCGGAGTGTCCGACCTCTGCGTGGTAGGTCGATGAGCAGCCGGGTACGACACGGGGTCGTCCTTCTCACGTTTCATCCCGGTGGGGGTCCTTGATCCCGTTCGAGACTGGGGACGAGATGTCGACCCGGTAGTGTCCACAGCGACAGACGAACGGCGAGACGTTGATGAAGCATCATCCGCTATTAACCCCGGGATAGGTCCTGTGATAGTGTCACAATCGAAGAAATCGGAGAAATTCATACGCTCCACGGGGTTCCGCTTCAGGAGCATTCGAATAAGGGACTTTATTTGATCCGAGGCAGGATTCTCCTCGGGGAACTTGATCCTGTCCTCTCCTTTCTCAATCTTCCGAAGCAGCTCAACATGGTTCGTGGCCCGAAAAGGAGGTTTGCCCACCACCATCTCATAGAGCACCGTGCCCACAGACCAAAGATCTGCTTTAGCGTCATACTTCTCGTACCGGAGGATTTCGGGAGCCATATAGAGAGGGGAGCCACACAATGTTTCAGCAAGCGATGTCGACGGAAGGGACCGAGCAAACCCGAAATCCGCAATTTTGAGCATTGGTAGGGATTCCAGTCCCGTTGCAGGGCTAAAGGATTCTTCACACCCTTTGAATGGCACAACCTGAGCCACGCCACTCCGGTATGACGACGGAGACGGACACAGTAGAAGATTTTGTGGTTTGATGTCACGGTGAATCAAGTTTCGATCTCGGAGAAATTTCAGCGCGCTTGCCAGCTGCTTGAGAAAATGGCGGACGACCACTTCATTCAGTGCGCCACCACGGGGGTTCGGATACTTCGCAATCATGTCCTGCGTATATCGGTGGTCCCCGAGTGTATCTCGGCGCTTGATGAACAGTGACAGATCCCCCAAGGCACAGTATTCCATCACCAGGTGGATGTGTGAAGTCGTCTCATGGCAGTCAATGAGGGCCACGATATGTGGATGGTATAGCCCTTTTAGGATATGAATCTCCGAGGAAAGGTTCTCTTTTAGCTTCTTGTTCAATTTGGAGAGGTTGACGGACTTGATGGCGACGTAAGTACGTGATTTCTAGAAGCCCAAAAGAATTAGCATTGGCCCCCGTATAGCTCCACCTGAACAGACCTAATGAACCTTAACCAATCTAGACTTACCGTATGGACACCCTGATAGACTGTAGCAAAACTCCCCCGGCCAATCTCATCCAGTCTGGTATAACGACCAATGGGCATCTCGGCATGGGAGGTCTCCCTGGACCTCCTGTGGTGTGAAGATGCCATACTGCAAACGGGGCGACGACAACGCCCTAAGAGGAGCGTTCACAAAGAACCAGCCACGCCCCGACGACCACACAACTACCTCAGCAACGGCAGCAACAACGATTGATGATGGAAGTGGCCCATCAGGGGAGGGAGATGATGTCCAGAGGGCCGGTCGATAGGTAGCTATCAAGAATAGATAAGGCAGAGGGGGTGGGGACGTAGGAGGAAAGCAGAAGCCGAGAGTCGTGGAACGAGAGAGGAGATGATGAGCGAGCTATCGGACGTCAAGGACCGAAACGACAGGAAGTGGACCGAGTCGCTAGGAAGGAGAAGTGTCGAGGTGAGCAGCAACGACAAGGATGGGAACAGTATACAGGCGTACGAGAGCGGTGAGGCGGAAACGGGTGCTCTACGCTGATAGGAAGGCGATAGCTGCAGGAGGTAGTCAAGGATGTTAATCAAGGTCGATAGTGGTCGGGATTATCCCCGATAACACTCTATAGAAGGTGGTACATGCGTCGATGTAAGAAAAAGCAAATGGGGGGAAGATCAGAGAAAAAGGAGGCTGTCAAATAGAGGCAAATCGACAGAAGAAAGGAGAGAAGTACCGGCTCTGGCGTATCAGCGGAGGATGATGTGATGAGACCAGGGCGGGTGACAAGCAGTTAGACCCAAGGAACGTTTTGACGATCTTGTCTTTGGGGAAAAGTACCAGTGCTAAACTAGTCTGCGATAACGATCTATTGGGGACCAGTGGGACGCAAGGCGGTCAGAAGGGCGGCGATGGACTTGGAGATGATCGGGAACCAATCCAGATGAATACCCAAAACAGGAACAGGCTAGCTACTGAGATGATGGGGGATGACGGGGATGACGGGGATGACTGAGAGGAGAATGGTCAGATTCCTGAAGGCGACTGTAAAATGATGGAAGATCCAGAAAGAATGGCGATGAGAGAGAACCAGGCTGGCTCCGAAACGGGAACCTAATCTAGCAGTGGCCTGAGGCCGGAAGGGCATCACGTTATCGTTTCGATTGCAGCCAAGTACGCAAGCTCGACCACAGACGATAGAACAACGCTGTCTATGACATCTATGTACTTAGTTTCTCACCATGACACCTGCACTCGTATTTCTCATCTCTCTTCATCACCAGAGTGAATGACTCATCTGATGATAGCCTCCTGTTCACAAGCGCCCGGTTTGCCACTGAATGACTGAAGGTTGATCTGCCGAATCATCGATAAGACCAAAGTGGAGACGCGTTAGATACGTTGGCGTCCACTAAAGACCTGGCGATCAGCAACTTCGAACTTCGTTGACGAATCGTAGAAAGTTGCCTAAGGGGATTCAACCAGTCATATTATGATTTTCAATTTTGGGTCACGGGTATCTCATGGGTGTCATGTGAATCTTTTCCAACACAAAGGCAAGACTATCTACGCCGCCTAGTATTCCTTCCAAAATCTTGCAACACATGGTAGAGAGAAAGAAGGGAAAGGAAAGGAAAAAAAGAATAGGAAAAAAAAAAGGACAAGAATGAAATACAATACAAATCCCCTGCCCACTTTCCTGATCTAAAAAGTCAAAAAATCTTGTCAGATAAGCTTCCCAGGGACTGTTTCATCCAGAAAGCATGTCCCAGTAATCTATCTGTCCTCACAGGCCAAGTCCCCTGACGAGCAGCCACAGCACAATCGGTACAAGGACATTGTCGTTGCACCCCGTCAAGATCGCTTCGGTCGCACTGGTGCCTGCAGCCGCTATGATGGCTTTGCACACCGTCCAAAGCCAGAATAATTGATTCTGCCCATCGTTCACATGCACCGCCCACTGGCCTGCGGCAAGCCACAATCGGGAAAACACCAGACCCCCGGTCACAGCCGCCGCAAAAGCCACACTGCCCTCCAAGGACTTGCCTCCACCCCAGAACCACTTACGCCGACCAAACCGACGACCCACTAGTGATGCGGCGGCATCTCCAAGACCGACGCATACTACTCCGCTGACCATACTGACATCTCGGAACTGGACGTTCCAGGCGCCCCATGGGTGGTCTTCCGATCGGGGGATGTCAGCCAAAGAAAGCCACAGGGGAATAGAGCATCCGATAAGAAGGAAGATGTGAGAGATAATGACAGGTCCCCGGTGGTCCCGGCCGTCAACATAGGGCGCCAGGAAATAGGTCAACGGCCGAGAGATTGGTGGCATTTGGGAAGCTCGGAAAAGATCCAGAAGGAGAAATATAGACAGTACTAGAGCGAGAGCGAGAGCACAGAATGCAGGATCGATGTAGATGGTGGGAAGAAACATCAACACCATCATGCCGTGGAAGACTTTGCGTCTTGTATCCACTTCTACGATGGAGCTCAACTTAAAGACAACACCCAGGCCCATCATAATCACCGCAATACAATGAGCAGCAATTAAAAGACGTGCGTTGGCTTCCCCAAAAGAAGTCTGCCGGAGACACTCCATCCAGCCAAGAGAGCGCATTTCACGATCCAAGCGAGGAGGAAGAGGAATCCAGTACTCCAGGTTCCACATGATCACCCAGAACCTAAACCAGGACACATTTCCCAGTAGGTAGCTCAAAGCCCACCCAAACGGCTCCTCTCCACCCAGTGCGCGTTCGCTCACGTACTTCCGCACTGGACCCATGATGATAATTGCCACAGCCGCATATACGTACAGGGCGTAAAGCCATTTCCGCACTTGTGCTTGTGGTACAGTCAGTGACAAAAAGGATGCCAGCCCCGGAGCCATCGATCGCTTCCGTCGGCCACTGGGAGTGGTCCTGATACGCTCTGAATGTGCAGCCTCATCCACGCTGGAGATAGTATGTCGTCTTCGATGCACTGCATGTCGATGACCATTCTCTTGGGGAACCTTGTCGGTCATTTCTCTAGCTGGGGTCTTCTCTCGAAACTCATGCGTTGTTCTGCGTGATATTGGCGCCATGTGAGCCTCGTATTCACTGTCTGACATAGCATCTTCGGAGGAGCCCGCTCGGCTCAGTTTTTGGCAGAGTTTATGGTCGATAACATACAAGAGATTTTTTCGTGATTGCGAACCACTGGGCGACCGTCTAAACTTCCAGCTGGGGATCCTAGCTAGAGCGACCTCCCAACGGAGAACATGCCGGCAAGAGATAAAAATGCACAAGCCGCCCAGCCACAATAGCGCCTTAAGGATCTCCGCCTGGGGGGAGCTCGCAAACAAAAACAGATTCACAAGAGCACTCGTCAAAAGCTGTAGCTCTGCCGGAAGGATACTGGTAGTTAATAAGAAATCTAAAGTGGGTATCAATGCTTGATGCAACGGAAAAACAAGGGTCAAAACTTCAGAACTGAGGCCGCGAAGCGCGAGAGGCTTGGGTATCGTATGATCTGCAGAAAAATGCTCCGAGACAATAATGGGTATCAACGTGACCAACCAATGGACGACACTGTGACCATGCATCCACTCGTGCAATGGAATGACTGGGGCGGGTAAAGACGAGAGACTGAGAATGATGTTTGGCAATACTAGCGCAGGGCTACGGTGCGCCAAGGACAAAGAGGTGTAAATGGGTATCAAAATCGGGTAAAGAAGGGGAGCGGGGTCGAAGCTCCTTGGAATGGTAAAAGAGTTTAATCCGGAAAGGCGTAGGCGTCCATTTCTCCTGAGCGGATACACCGCGTACAGCGTGGTGACAAGAACGCCATGAGCAAGTAGTTCTACCAAGCGATACAGGTAAGTGACGAACTTCGCAATAGTGCCAAACAGCAATCATACGTACCTTTCCTCCAAGCCCATGCAAGTAACCTCGCACTCTCCTGGGACAACACAACCGCGCCCACGGACAATAGCAACCCTGTCTCTAAGAGCCGCCGCAAGACCTCAAGGCGCTTTTTTCCGACCTTCCCTCGTAATCCCACCCTTCCGGTTCCCATGTCTTCACTGGAGCTCTGTTGTGAGCTCCGGGACGTTGACCGTCCCAGCGAGGGCCACGGTTGCAATATCGGCAACCACGAGTCACGGTCTGTGGCATCATTGTAGCCCGAACGCAACCCTTTCCGTTGGCGAAGAGGGGGCGCCGGGAGTCCTTTTAAAATCCCTGTACTCTCATCATCTGCCTCGGTGCCGCTATCACTGGACGTTTTAGGCCATGAATTGGGAGTTAGTCGATCACCGCCATTCATAGGTAGCAAATGGGGTTCGGAGCACTTGGAGCCCTTGCGATGGTAGGGGTGCGGCGACCGGGAAGTATCTCGGAGAGTGTCTGGTATAGATGAATCGGGCTGGAATAGATTGTTGGGGAGAGGTAATCTCTCCTCCTCATGGTTCTGCGAAGCGGCCATGACCCCATGGACTCTTGATCGGAGAGTTTTAGAGCGAGTACGTCATATCTGAGGGGACAGTTGCGGAGACACGAGGACACTAAACTGACGATACCACGTTAGTAGACACACCATAAGCCAGTGCAAATGGGAAATCCAGGGCATACAAAGTGAGTATAAAGGTGTATTGCTGGTGGAGACGTTGTGAAGGACTGGTTGTTATCTAATGAGGTAACGAAAACGGCGGCGGTTTTTTGCGTATCACATGCTTTTAGGCTCACGGGATAATGCAAGTCAACGGCCATCACCCAGATTATGCATAGATCTAGGCCTCTATGATTAAGATTCCACTCGCAAATTTCCCGGTCCTAATTTCATGGAATCCAGTATTGCTTCAACCAAACATGTTCTAATCAACCCTGACTCAACATCCCACAGCTGATCCAGTATCGCCAGACACTTATCTCCTGATGTCTAAGCACCACTTATCGAGCAGATGTGACCAATCAATTAGGGTTGATGCTAAATCTACACACAGGCCTTCTGAGTGAACGTGGCATCAGCCTTGTTCTTATGTCACGCAATGCAGCGGGAGTAATTCTGTCTACGCGTCCGTGGGGTTATGCGTCTGTAGGATGATCCCGGCCGCCAATTGCCGCCCTTTCTGGCCCCATACTGACGTGCAAGGCACGATCTGACCCGGCCAACTATTCCCAGACAGCGGCTGTGCTGTGTAGAGAATTGCATGGGAAACCCCCGCTGTGGAGTATCGTTCGAGAATGCGCTGCAGGCACGATTCCAGTTCAGTGCCAGACTCTTTGCCAATCTCGATTCCTGTGTACCGCAGATTCTCGTCTGTGGTGGTGTCGATCTTGCGACCAACATCCAATTCTTCCGCAGCCATCTTCAAACCACCACACCGATAACCCAAACCCTGCCATTCGATATCGCTACCCCGGGGTAGTTCAGCAACCTGGGCAGCAAAGAAGGGAGGAACCAGTACGTCCGACTGCACCACGGACATGTTAGGCAAAGCAGCTGCCTCTGGCTTCGTTGGCTGGTCATAAGCTCGTCCTCCATACTTAATGTCCCAAGCATCCAACGTCGGTTCTTCGTCGTCCTCGTCTGAGTCGGTTTGCTGGACATGCATCGTCTCCCAGAGACGCCATGCTATTTGCGCTTTAGTATCCATGTGGTCTGTTCCCGTTAGATACGCAACGGCCCCCAGCCACCACTGAACCTGCATCGCTGCCGCAATCCTCCACAGATGCTGCAAAGACAACACCGCTCGCAAGGAGTAGCTTTCAAGCCATGACTCCGGGCCAGCGACCATATCCATCGACGCCGGTTCCAAAGGTATCTGACCGGCAATGTACACCAGCCGCTCTGATGCCTGCACCGGGATAGACATAGCCTGTGAATACGGTCCAATATTAGCGGGGGCCCAGTATGAACGGGACTGAACATGAAGGCCCTGTCGCAGATCCCTGGGGCCTAAATCGATGACCAACGAGACCGTAATCTTTACGCCCTCGGGGAGACTATTCCCACAAGCCACCGTAGCTCTGGCAGGGGGATTCGGCTTCTTGAAAAGCGAAACGTAGATATCGTTCATCAACGGGAAGTCAACCATAGAGCGAATCAAAACTGTAGCAAAGACGATATCAGCAGGTGTCCGAGTACCCGTAGACTCCAAAATAAGCCGGATCTTCCGCGCAATCGCCTCCATCTGCTCCCCAGCACCAGGACCAGCCTCAGGCGCCGCAAGATTCGAGATAGCCCAAGTGCCGCCATTCCTCGACTGAGCGACCTCCCCCAGTCGCCACACAGGCTGAGATTCCTTCACCGTGTCGACGACATCCAGATCCCCCACATCCGACACCACCGCATCCAAAACCCCAGAAAACGTCTCATCCAACAACGCCGGCCGCCTCACATCCTCCGGAGAAACGCCATCCCCTCCCTCCTTCCTCACACACCTCGCCCCCCGAAGCCTCACAAACCCCACACCCCCTTCCCCAGAACAGACCTCCCTCTCGGCAATCTCAATCCTCCCCTTCCAAAGAAACGCAGGCCCATCAACCGCAAGACTCTCATACTCACCCCCTTCCCCAAGAACAGCACCCCCCAAATCATCAACCACAAACCTCCTCATGCCCCTCTCAATCTTCCTCCGCACAAGCCCATCGCGACTCGAAACATCCCCCCAGAGAAACCCCTCATCCAGCCCGCCCGAGGCAACCTTGATAATCCTCGCCTCACATCCAACCCCAGCCATATCCTCCAACAGCCCCGCCTGCGTAGCCACGCCCGCGCGTTCCACCGGCGCAGGGAGCACCGGATAATTCCACAACCAAGCCAAGGGGGTCAGGCCCAGCCTACACGCGACATTCTCGATCCTGGTGCGTTGATAAGTGGACAAGATGGCGCCGGCACAGACGGCACTGGCCTCCGGATGACACTGCATCACGCGCTTCAGCAGCGGAACGAGCGACTCGGTCTCGTCTTCCGGCGCGGACTCCTCTGTGGCATCATTGCGGTAGATGCGGGCTGTGTCGACGGCGCCGCCGGAGATGGGGGCGCGGTAGAGCGGGATGTCCAGGGCCTGCTCGTAGAGGGGGATCACGGCGTGGCCGATGGTCTGGTACATGAAGCTGTCGATGTCTTCTTGGGCATCTTGGACCGGGGGGTGGAGATTGGCTAGCGCGATGACTTTGTGGCCGTTGCGGATGCAGTGCAGGAGAGAGTAGAGAGAGTCTTTTCCTCCGGATATTAGGGCGATCACGTTTAGGCTTTGACCCTGTTGTGGTTGTGGTGATGGGGTCATGGTGGTGGGGTGGGTTTTATCATTTGAGGGGTATTTTTTTTTTCTCTCTCTGTTATTTAGTAGGTGACCCCGCGCTTGCGTTAGAGTCTAGATGCTTGAGTTATGTACCTAGTAAACTAGTGATAGTTCGGTTTAAGGTAGACCAGGGTTTGGCCTTTTTAGTTGTTAATCATTTGGTTGAGGATTTAACTTAATTTTTACTGCGGTGGTTCGGAGTTCCGAGACGGAAGCCAAACCACTAACCATGGATTGTAGAAATACACTACTACACTACATTCCCAGAAGAGTATTTTTCTTGATGATTCTTTGATTATCACTAGCTATGCCGCACATTGAATGGGCACTTGAATTAATAACAGCGGGGGGAATATTATGGATGCAAACAAAATGAAAACAGGATGATGCGCACAGGGGTATGAGGCAATGATTGGGGAAAAGTTGAAGTATACATGTGGCCAGCACAGGAATGATGTGGTGAGGGTGCAACCCGGGTCAAGGTCAAAACAAATATTAAATCAAATAGGGACACAGAATGCAAGATGAATGAGAAGTATAACGAAGAGAAGAGAAAAAAAGGGAAATGGTTACAAGAGTGGCGAATGACTTGAGCCATTCTGTTGATCGAGGCAAAACATCTTTGCCAGAAAATGCGAGTATGAGAGAAAAAAAAATCCCAAATCACCACCAGTGCCTCAAAATGAGAAGTCGCCATGCGCTCTAAGTTTAGTCCAAACCGTGGACTCCCAGTGCGCCGAAACCGTTGCAGCCCAGACAACCGGTCTAATGCCTCCAATTTAAGTCCTTCTTTGTGAGGACCATATGCTGTATTATGCTTCTCTTTTCCCCGGTGTGAGAAACGGAAATCCTTTTGCCAGACACCTTAGCCTCCCACATGACACCGCCAATGTAAATGCCCAGACGCCAAAACCGCAAAGACCAAAGTCAGACCAACCAGTGCAATGGTGGAGTAATTATGATAGTGTATTAAGTAGTAAGGGGGGAGCTCCTGGTCACATCGCGTCGTGAAGTTGCAAACGGCAATGGAGGCAACTAAGCGTGTTCGTCACGCTTGCGCTTCTTGGCAGATCGACGATCGATAGAGGGTGCGTCAGACACACCATCTTCGGATGATTCGCTAGTCGTCGACTTAGTCGCCGCAGCGTTGGCAGCTTCATAGAGCACAGCCCCCATGGCACTCGCGTCACGTTCCTCATACTGTTGAGAGGCGCCGTTTGTGTCCAGGACGCCCATTACGATAGAACCACCGGCATGGGTCCTGGCGTGCTGCGCAAGGTTGTCACTCCGAGAAAACTTCTTACCACACTCATTGCACTCGAAGGGCTTGTCCTGGGTGTGCAGAGAACGGTAGTGGCGCTTAAGGTGCTCTTGACGACGGAAACGACGAGAGCAGAGAGAGCAGACGAAGGTCTTGGAAGGGTCATCCGTCAGAGATTGCTTACGACCCCGGCGGTTCACCGACACGGGAACAGGTGGGGCCTCGGAAGAGCTAGATACATTGGCTTCCGAGACTGAGCGGGACGGAGCAGCGGCCTGCTGAGCCGCATTGGCCTCTGTGCTGGTGGCCCGGCTGTTGACCGGTGCCTGTGCTTTCTTGAGAGCATCCTGGTCCTCAGAGTGTGCTCTCTTGAGAGACTTACGCGAGTTGCTTCGCTTCTTCGTCTTCATCTCGTCCGAGGTCTCGCTGGCATCACTCTGGACCGGGCCGAAGTCGGTACATCCCAGGAAAGAAAGGCCAGATTGGGTCAAATCCAGATCGTCCGAAGAGTCTTCCAAGCTGTGTTCACTCAGGAACTCCTCATCCTCAAAAGAGTACGTGCTGAGACGCTGTCTCTTTTCACCCATATAATAGGGGTTGCCGCTGGGATGGAAGTCAACCAGGCGGTTGACAAACTCGTCCTCCGAGTCAAGGTCTGAAAAGCTGTCAAAGGTGGGCAATGAAGTGAGGGGATCCTCAGTAGAGCTAGTGTAAGCGGGGGATGGGTTCTCATGAACTGGCAAAGTCACGGCCTCGCTTCCCAGGACCACCTTGGGTTCCTCCTCTTCGCAGGAAAGAGTGGGCAAAGGAGGCAGCTCAGACGGGGAGGATGTGCTGACGGCGGAAGACTCGACAGTCAACTGCCGAGGATCACAGAAGTCGGAAGTGGCCTGCTCAACAGGGAAAGCCGACTGAGACGGAGCAAACAAAGAAGACACAGGAGAAGGCGAAGGAGAAAGAGAGGGGCAAGAGCCGTTTGCAGAGAGAAAGTCTGAGCCCTGACTGGCAGTGAGAGCATTGGCGTTAATGAAGACTAGAAGAAGTTAGCTCTTGGTTCCAATCCCCTGCTCAACTGATGAAAATGACAAAAAAAAAATAAATAAATAAATAAAACATACCAGGAGTCATGGGAGGCGAAGTTGCTGACCGAGCCCAGTCGGCACTGGCCAGAAGCTCGGCATGGACCTCACTTTCGCAGCCCTCTTTCACACCCTCCACCTTTTCGAACGAGAAGAAACAGTCGTGGATTGGGGTGTGCAGTGTGCCACTGCTGGATGGTGGGCTGCTGATGGAACTTCCAGCGGTGGAGAGTGGAGGGGTAGAAGGGAAGTTATAGTAGTCACCGACGAACCTCGTGTCCAAAGGCATGAGGGCTGGGGAGCCTTGCTGGACGACGATTGTGGGCTTCAGGTGAGAGGGTTGAGGGGAGGCGATGGGAGTCATGTTCATTGCTCCTCGGAAGGCATTGGTAGTGGCCATCTGATGCATGTTCATCATGGGTTGAGCATTGTAGACCGGTTGTTGCTCCGGTAGGCAGTGTTGTTGAGGGTAGGCCTGCATCTGTCCATAATATGGCTGGGGCTCAGACGGGTGGCTTGTGTATTGTTGTCTTTGTGAATCAGCAGTAGGGTAGTATGCAAAAGATGGTTGTCCTTGCACCGCTGGTGCCATCGTATATGTAGCGTCCATTGTGACTAGAGCATAAGGCATTAGTATGGACATCTTGCATGATATAATGTTGCTTCGACGAACCAATGGTAAGATTGTGCTGAGGATCAAGCGCGTACTGCTTTACCTCTTGGGTATAATTAGGTATGTTTAGTCTATGTCAGGATGTTGGTTCCAGAATGATGTCGAGGCAGCTTGGTGCTAATGATAGATGTCGAGCACGGTAGTTGCTGAATGAATGTAGATGTCTCTTGCTCTGGATGAATGAATGACTGAAGGCAGAAGAGTGCGGTCTGAATTAGGGTTTTATAGTTAAGACTGCGAATATGCAACGTCTTCTGATCTTCTGGTGAATGTACGGTATAGTTATATCTGATAGAAGGAAGGACAGGAACCTCTGGTCGATACGAGCCAACCCTTTTTGGATTCGGGACGATCACGATCAAAGGTACCGGGAGACAGATGATGAAGTAAAAGAAAGAGAGAAAAGAGAGATGGGATGGGGATTAAAGCCAAAAAAATAAGAAATAACGAAGGGAAGGAAGAGAATCGAGACAAGTCTAAAAACGGAAAAATGAAAAGACTAAAGAAATAAAGAGGACTAATTTGAAGGGCAAGGACAGTCGCGGGGAAACGAGAGACAGGGCCGATATGGGAAAGGGAAGAGGGAGAGACGGCCAGAAGGATGGACAGTGGATAAAAGAGAGACTGATCTGCTTGTGCTACGACTTAGTAGCGCTGTGCGTAGTGAGAGTTAGTAGTAAGACTGGAGCCGTACTTTTTAGTTTTAGTCCGTCTTGTCTATTTGGAGAGGGGGGGGGGGGAGAAGGGAAGGTAGTATAATACTAGTAATTATACCTAATAATATTCGTGAATTAAAATTATAATTATGATTTTTTTTTATTAGAATACAAAAAAATAAAAATAAAAAATAAAATAATTCCTCCCCCAAAAATTAAAATTCAAAAAAATAATAATTATAATAAATGGAGTAACTCAGGTGCATCCGCCCATCAATTCCAAGGATACTCTCCATGGTGGTGCCAGATTTCCTATGATTATCAGTTAATCTTTGCCGGAATGGTGCGAATGATCAATGGGAATAACTCTGTTCATGAATCCCAATTGTTTCTCGACTCCGATTACACTTTGGAGGGGAAACTTCTCTCGCGATTCTTTTCCCATTCCCATTCCTTTGCCTCTTTTTTTCTGCCTGATTTCTTCAGAACCACTGTGATTTGCTGTTACTGTGTAATTACATCTCCGACAGCCGCCCTACCGGCACTCTCTCACGTAAACCAGATGCAGGACGGCACACAAGCAGGCACAGATTGACGCTGGTGCACATCTCAGTTCCTCCAACAGCGGAGCAACAGACGGGAGGTGGGACGCTTCATCAACAGTGGCAGCATCCGCCGCATCATCATAACCACCATCTACATTTTGCTAGCCACAACTAAGTCTACCCTAAAATGTTGTGCCATTGCTCCATTGGGGAAAGGGTAGCGTAGGATCCATCCGAACTACACAACCGACAAATCCAATGCGCGACTAACAGGGAATGGGACCACTACCTCGGCCGGGGAACCCAAAAAAGGCGTAAGCATGTGGGACGCATGAGCACGAGTGGACCACCTTGGCGGTCCTCATAAAGACTCCATCTGAGGACACTCCCAAAAAGAAAAAAGATTTAAAAAATAAAAAGATTTAAAAAAAAAAAAAAAAAAAAAA